GGCCTGTCAAGTCACTGCCAAGGTACATGTACTGTGCATGTAGCCTCGCCTTGGTCCAACCCATTGGTGGCCGTGGAGGTCAGTCATGCCACTATCAAGGTGGTGTAATTTGTTGTTGTCCAACCATTTTGGAGGCCTTGATAACCAGTTATGCCACTGTCAAGTTACATGTGGTTTGATTTTGGTCCAGCTCCTTTTTTGGCTTTCATGGCCAGTCGTTGTCGGTGTTATTTGGTTGAGGGAGGTTTGAGTGATACATCCCATGTTGACAGTGCACGGTGACCAGGATGAGTAACCTTGGTAGTCATGTGGCCTTGGTAGTCATTCCTGGTTGAAACCACATCCTTCTAATCATACCCAAAGAAAGCATGACTTTCAGTAGAAAAACTTGAGGTTTATTTTATTGAACTGCGTCCTTAAAAAGTCACATGTGTGATGATGTATCTGGTGAAATGCCAGAAATGTTTTATTAGATGTTCATGAATTATGGAGTCATTCTCTTTCATGGGGTAAGAGGCAGAGGTACATGTGAATCATTTGTAAGTTTGTAGAACAGCTGGCAGATGTGTGCTTGTTTGTGAGAAGCTGGAAGGTCTGAGGCAAAAAATGCAGTGAGCCGTGTTTCACGACACTCTCATGTACAAATGGCCGCGTACATGGGTAATTCCAGAAATTAGGGGTCCATTTTTTCATGTCGCTGTTACATTTGACATGTGATTTTGTAAGTTCAGAACATATTTTCTAATTTCCAAGAGTGATGAATTAATGCAGATTACCTGCCAAAGAAATTGTAATAGTTTGAAAACAATGCTGGTGATATTTCCATGTCAAACAGCAAAGGTCAGATGTAAGAGGGACACGAAAATGTCACACTTTTGGACCCCTAATCTCTGGATTACCGACATGCATGTGTGTTTCTCTTTGGAATGCCTCTGCAATAGGTAACTTTTCTGATCTGAATAGTTCGTTCGACATGATCTGGCAAATTATAACTCCGGTGTCAGAATTTGTGCCTGCCTAGGCCAGGCGCTCTACTGCGTAAGACTTAGTTTGAGAAAGTCTCACATGAAGATAGTTGAATACTGCAATACTTGAGTGATTCTGATGTCTCTTTGCCTAGCATGCTCACCCTTGTTCACAATATGCTCAAGCCCATAGTGGTGAGATTTCTGAATCGTATGCAATTGTCATTTATGAAATCAAGGAGTTGGCTGGTGTGCATGGCGGTAGTACCATCACGCCTCCTGGAAATGGCATATTTCTGTCACTGATTTGAGTAGAAAATTACCTTGACATCCTTGCCTGTGACATGCATGATTCTTCCATTATAGTGCTCATGTACATATGTACACTTCCTTCTGTTATTGTTTTGCTTTCATTTAATTTAATGGGTTTTTTTATATTTTATTTTGGGGGGTTAATTGGCTGCTTATCGTTTCGCGTGTTGTTTGATTTTGGGCAGGAATCCCAGAAGTTGTTCTTGTTAGTAACAACTTAAATGCAGGTGAAACTTTGTCCCCCTTTTGCGCTTTTGGGCTGGGATATATTAATGCTTTTTAACCCTGCTAACACAAACCCTACCGCTGGTAGTCAAGTTGCTCTTTGAAACATTGAAATGAATGCTGTGGAAATTCAGCCAAGAAACTGGCATGAAGATAGTGTTGAAATTGGCTTTAGAAAGGTACCAAAATCAGATGTTTTGAATTTTTCGGCACGGTCGGCACATTTGAAGTGTTGCAACTCTCATGCAAGCGTTGATAACGTGTTTGAATAATGTAGCATTTGAAGTGTGAACATGTGCAAAATATGCATCATATTTTGGCATTCATTCCGAATGGCTCTGACAGTGAAATTTGTATTTGAAAAGAGGAAATAAATGAAGGTGTAGTGCATTAATAACTCATTGTAAATTATACTTTCATGTTTACCACATTTTGGCCATTGCTCTTGCATGTCAGTTTGACTGTTGAAAAGGACGTCCTTTTTTATTTTAATCGCCATATTCCCTTTTAAAATGAAATACATCAGAAATATTTCAGTCATGCCTTTTGTCCTTGGAACAGGTCGCCAGTCTGCCTGCCCTGTAGCCATTTTTACCCACACCTGTTTTTATGTTAACATTGCTATGAGGAATTTACCTCCAGAATGTGAATTCAACTCTTTGTCTGAAGAAGTGGATTGTCATTGAATGCTAATAAAAATGGACCCAGGAAATAAACCTTCATTGCAAAGACAAGGCACAAGCAGTAACATTCCAAGAGAAACATTTGCTACCCTTCTTTTAATATTCAAAGATCAAAATCTTACGAAAGAGTTCGGAGGAATTTTATTTCCTTTTTCTTTATGTGTGTGGGTGTTGGGGGGGGGAGTCTTATCATAGAGCTTTCTTGAATTAATCTTTACATTAGGGCAACCCAAATCTGCACAGATTTTAAAAAATATTTCCTACATATTTTTGTACGTCGAAAAGCTGGCTTCAGTCTGTCCACCCTTCTGTCGTCAGTTATGTCTGCATATCTGTCCTCTCATGTTGCACCACGTTCGTCTTGCTGTGTGCCCTCTGCCCCCTCTCACCATCATGTTTTAATTTAGTATAGAGAGTGGCCGCTGAACATAGTTGTGCATATACCAGTGAATTTGCCCTTTTTTCCCCAACATTTTTTTGCCTGTGGTATTTTTGTGACATCAATATACCCTCCATCCCCCTTCCAGCCTCAAATGGACAAAAGCATTGAATGGACAACGGGAAAAAAAAACCAACTAACTGCAATTGATTTGAAAGTGCCTCATGACCTTTCACGCATTTGGATCCGGGATAGTGCAGCAGAAAATAGAAAAAGAAAATAGAATTATGAACGATGCTTTCGTTCATTTGCATAATCCATACAGATGGTGGCTATGCTACAGGATACCATGTGGAGTGCCACTTCTCCCCTGTCCTGTTCCATACATCCTGCTTTCTACCCTTTGAGCTCACTTTTCTGTGTGTACTTGGTATTACATGTACCTGTACATGTCTTCTGTGCCACTTGTAATCACATTGCAGCTATTGGTGCTTGTAATTTCTACATGTAAATGGTGGTGCAGCTTGAGATCGCTGGGTGTGTGTTGGGGGTGGGGTATAGCTTGGGGGAGGGGAGATGTCCATTGCCCCCCTCCATCACATCCCTGCATGAGAAATCCTGGACTAGGCACACTCAATCGACACTTCACAATGGTTAGAAAATTTATGATTAGTGGCAACATGTCAAGTTTATCACATGTCCACTGCAATTAAACCTGTTCACTCACCAGCCTCACACCCTGAGGATTGACTGGTATTCAACCCTAGGGTAAAAGAGGTTTTTGTACCGTTTATAGCCTGCTAGAGATGGTTATCGGTGGGTCTTGTAATGTCATGTGCGACTTGCATTCCACTATGTGTGCATGTTTTTGGCACAGGCATAATAATGATTCGCTTCCCATCAGCTTGAAACTTGAATCAAGTTGTCGATTGGGATAGAGAATGCTTGGATTTGTGCATGCAACAAAGCATGCGTAGCAACAAAGACAAGATAAGCATCTAGGACCACTTCTTTCCCTGAGAATTTAGCTCTTGCCTTCACTTGGCTAAACTAGATACATGTATGTATGTGTGAAAAGGCTAAAGCTCACTCGTGAATGCAAAAGACCTCTTTTTAATGTCATCTTGTTCTCAGTTGAATACTTTGATCTGTTGTCAACTCAAGTCAAAAATCTCCCTTGGGGCAGTGTATATTCATCCAATATCAAGATTCGAAGGGTTGAGACCTTTTTTAAAAAGCCCTAGTAGACACTAAGTTGGTTCCTAATGATTTGAAATGGCACAGATATGAGCAGGCCTAATTTCGCATGCGGACTAGAGTGCTTCAGGCAGGCATCATCAAACAAGTTGAGAACAGAAAGGCTGTTCCTTCAAAAAAAACACAGAGTTGGAACTGGTTTCCTCGTGAACTGATGTGTATGCTTACTGTCGGTCACAAGGCACTGTTGCAAATGAGGGTTTGGGAGCTGTTAGGCAGCTTGGTTAAAGTTGAGCAGTTTATTTAACCGGTTACACTGTTGGCAGTGTGCGTCTTCGCATCGAAATGGTTAGATGCAGTCATGCGGCTGATGCGTACATTGCCCTGATGAAATTCCCCACAAAACAGAGAAGTAATTGACAACTTGTTCCAAACCTTACATGTCTCCTGGACAGGCATCATTTCTAATTGCCTCAGGATTGTTGCACCGACACTGCACCATTTGAGCTATGTTTGAATTGTCCTGTCTTTGTCCTGATCCTCCTCCCATTAAACCTCTCTGTATTGTTATCATTCACCGAGTCAATTTAGCTTTGGCTATTAGCCTTGTAACTACCAATTGTTCAGTTGCCTTTACGCCAGAGAATCTTGATATCTCGGATGAGACAGTAGGGATGGGGAATTCAGGAGTTGTTTTTGCGCAGTTAGCTTGATAGAGTGCATTAGTTGCTTGTGAAAGCTCGGGTTTCTCTACCTAAAGATTTGCTCAACTTTGCGAGGGAATTGCACATTTTAAGTTGTTGCCGCTAGGCCTGGCAGAGACCATGTCAACCTTGACGTCATGCCCTTCCGATGGCAACGGCAAAACAGCCGCCCACACACCTGATTCACATTGTAAAATGTATGTAACATAAGGCATTTAGACGCACTCACCACTCAAGCACATGCTGTGAGTTCCAGGATGTAGAGATTCACCGTTTTTGTGATAGCAGTCAGCATCTCAAACCACAATGTGGAACAAAACAGTAAACAAGTATGACGTGGTCTGTGGCAGGTTTTTCTGATACCGTCAATCAAAGATGAACCAAGTGGAAGCCGTTTCATTCCCTTTGCCAATCGAGTAAATAACCTTTGAGACCATATTTACTGGGCTCTGACTTTAATGCCGAGCTAGTTACCCTTGAAACACAGTACCAAGGGTGGACATTAACGTCCACCCATCGCATCCATGGTATGTTAGCAAAGTACTGCCATGCTGTGTTAAAAAAAGCAAAAAAAAAAAAACCCAAACAAACCAAGCAAAACCAACCCCTGTCTCGTCCCCACCATTTTGAGGGTTCTTCGTCACCATTGGTCTCATGAATGTGTTTCTGTCATGTGGCAAATATATGTACATGTCACCTTGCTCCCAAACCCCAGCCCCACCCTGCCAGTCACAAAATGCACCTTTGAAGCCAACTGGCACAATACGCAATATAGCACTGCCAAGTGTTTGCCACAAAGTTGCCTTGTTTTCTTCACGGTCCACATCTTGAACACTTTATCCCGCAGTTAATCATTTTGTTCTTTACTGAGTACGCATAGCGTCTCACAAACTCGGAAACCTAGCAAATAAGCTCCTCTTCTTTCACGCACAGCACAATTGAACTTACTATCGTCTGTGCAAGTAACTAATGAAGAAAGCACAACTTCAACAAGCAGATGCTGGCTTTGTCCCAGAATGCAATGCCCATGAATGACCTCACAGTTATTATCTCTTTGCTGCTGTACTGTGGTTGAATTGTACCCAATTGTTAGTTTTCTCTTTGAGCACATTGAGTCTGCACTTCACTTTCTTTGCTTGTACACAATGAATGAACTGCGAATGGTGATGCAGATGGTGATATAACTTGACCCATCAGCCTTATACTTCTGGTTTTGTTGAAGGTTACTTACCCATCATGGTAAAAACAGCAAAGTAATACTCTCTATCATTAGATAAGCAACATGGGCATACTAACATATCGCAGCATGGCTTGTGGTATTTTAATGCCTAACTTTCATGTTTATGCCAATTTTTTTTTCCCCCTGGAACCAAATGAACGTTGACTGATGCATCTGACTCATTGCCCACCCGACAGGCATCACCAAGATCAATGACCTGAGCCAGGCCACAGAAAAGCTGTCGGTGGAGAACGACGAGAATAAGTCTTCGTCCCATAGTCTCAAGACGCCCTCCCTCAAGGAGGAGCTGGAGCGGATACCCATGCGGAAGTTTACCCTGGAGGATTTCAACTTCATCAAAGTCCTTGGGAAGGGGAGCTTTGGCAAGGTGAGGGTGACAGGAGTCCCCTCCCCTTATCAAAAACAAATAATAATTGCCCCTCCACTCTCATATCTTAATGGAAGTTGGAATGATGCATCTGCCTTCACTGTGGAAGCTTGCTGAATGCACTGTGGTCATGTACTTGGATTGGTCATTCTAGAACATTCCAAGTAGCAAATTATGTGAAGAAAAAAGTTGACTCAAATAGGAGCCAATGAGGCCCATCGGACTGGTAGTCCTGTCTGGTTTCAGTAGCATGGAGCAAGTGACTATTTCTATTCACCCTTAATTGGATGCCAGTCTATAGCAGGTCACTCCTCAGCTATTAGCGAGTGCCCATCCATTCTCCTGGATGGATAGGAGCAAGTTAGGATGAAGTAATTTGCCCGAGGACACAATGTATGGCCAGGAGCTGGATTTGAACCCCGGACCCTCTGAGCATGAGTCACAAATCCTTACCACTTAGCCACACTCCCCCCCCACAGCAGACTATGTACCTGAAGTTGTAGGAGTTTATAGGTAGACATGTTTTCTTCTTTTTCATACTGTTTGTTCGATCTCAACCAAAACTTTACCGAAACAAGAGTCTGATTGGCCCACCGAGGGTGACTTGACAAGAAGCAGCATCCAGTGAACCTCATTCCCATCACCTTTGCCCGTCTAAGACTCGGTTGTTGTTTCTGTGCATAGGTGATGCTGGCAGAGAAGAAGAACAGCGAAGAGGTGTATGCGGTGAAAGTGCTGAAGAAGCACGCCATCATCCAAGACGACGATGTGGAGTGCACCATGACGGAGAAGCGAGTGCTGGTCCTAGCCAACAGACACCCCTTCCTGACATCCCTACATTCCTGCTTCCAGACTGTGGTAAGTGGTGTCCACCTGTTGAGCCACATATTGAGTTGAGAGAGAAGTGACTCCTCATTCTCCATGTGAAGAAGCTTTGACAGCATCCGGAGCGCAGACATTTTGAACTCGCTTGTGTGTTTATGGATGAAATTTGGAATGATGTACTCTAAATGGGTAGTTCTAGAAATTAGGGGTCCGTATTTTCGTGTCCTTGTTACGTCTGACATGTGATTTTGTAAGTTCAGAACACATTTTCTAATTTCCAAGAGTGATGAATTAATGCAAATTACCTGCCAAAGAAATAGTAATAGTTTGAAAACAATTCTGGTGATATTTCCATGTCAAATAGCAAAGGTCAGGTGTAACAGGAACACAAAAATGTCACATTGTAGACCCCTAATTTCTGGAATTACCTAAATACAACACCCAAGTATAACATATGCAAGTAGCAGATATAGGCATGTTGTCCATCAGGTGTATGCTACCTTAAAATGTTGACGCAGTGCCTCAGGAAAATTCCTCTGAAGCACATACCGATATGAGCACGCATGTAGGCTCTTGGTTAGGTTATCAGCTTTGTTGATGCATTTTATCAGAATGTAGACACAGATAGGCAGAAAGCCTCACAAAAGATGCAGATTTCTGCAAATTGGTGCATAAACATGGATGCACCCAGCAGGCTTTGCTTTGCACAGGAAGTTATCACTCTAGTAATTTAATGCAGCGTTGTGAGTGCACCCCAGTAACAAAGTTTCGGTCGATTGGATGCCTGAGTGTCTACACACCCAGAAGGCTGCTTCGGATACCCTGTTTTATTGTGCTAGATATTTGATTTTCAAATGGTTTCAAACAGTTTGCAACACTGTTCCAGTGGGTGGGTTTTGTGTGTTGCCATCGATGATGCCTATATTTCAGCAAGAAAAGGAAAGTGTGAACATTATCCGCTCCGAGCGGAACAAAAGAGGGTACTTTTTTTTTGGTACTCACTGCATAGGCAGTTTTTTTTAGGCATGCCATGAGGTATGCAAGTATATGCAGATTTGATGCGGAGCACACTGAATACGGGTAACTAATTTACTCCGCCGTGTATGGTCTTTGCTTACACGCAGAAGGCATGCAAGAAATCATTTGTATCCACCTGTCTCTCTTTTCATCGATTGGGGGTGCACTTCAGCTCGGGGTGGATCAGTTACCGATGCACCAGCTTGGCTGTCCAACAGCACATGCCTTCAAGTGCAGTGCATCAGAGTTACTTGAGAACAGCAATGCATTCACCCAGTCAGCTTGTCAAGTGTGGTCATACACCAACTTGCAAGCACTGAACACGTTTGAGTACACACTGAACATTTCTGTTCTTGAATGACCTCACCTTTTGGAAATATCAGACCGGCACAATGTTGCCTGCTGTGGTGTGGGACATGGCATTTTTTCACACCCTGTTGTGTACGTATTGATGGCACCTTAGAGAGGGATACATGATAAGTATTGTAGACATCTGAAGTACCGTTTTCAGCCTTTAGATCAAGCTTAATTTTTTTTCAGGGTGTAGATTTGAAAGCTTTACAAAATTCCATGACAAATTATGTTGTGAAACTGCATTTGGAGTGGACTTGCAAAATATTTTGCAGCAACATTACAAAACATTAAAGCCTGTTCTCTACTTGAATGATATATCAGGAAACAAAATCCAAAATACACAGAAATGAAAGAGCATTTTTTTTTACACATCTGGAATTGGAAAACAGAAATACAGGGAAGTACTTGGTTTACAGTTATGGATCAGAGACACGCATGTTTGGCCCTGAGATTTTATCAGAGACTTTTGCTCTCTGGCATGACCTCATCCTTTTCCTCAATTTGTTTCTCTTATTGTTACACCAAAAACAATAAGGAGGAACTTTGTTGTTGGGGAACCGTGGTCCAACGTGAAGGAATGTTAGGGGTCTTTCCCCCTCGCTGTGTATGCGTCATGCAGCATGAGTCACTGTACCGAGTCGAGGTATTCTTATACCAAGCCTTTGCTGCTTGTTATAGTGATAAGCAGTATTTGTCACTCCGAGAACCACGCGTCCCACAGAGAGCTTTTTATTTACACGTACAACATCAGATACTTTGAGGCAAATGTCCTTAGCAACTCATTTCCTCTTTTCTGTGGAGGGGTATTTTTACACAGAGTGGGACATTTTGGACAAGTCATCTGACGTTTTTTGTGAATGACCCATGCAAGGAACTAACTGTTTTATGCATTCTTATTCTCCTCTTCGATGTATGAACTCTATTTGACTTTTTGGGGGGCTTAAGTGTACTGAAAGGGCACGTTTTTAAACGTTGGAAATTGTCCAAGTTTTTCTGGACTGTTGAGGGTACCGTCGTTGTGATGTAAATCAACCTTTTGGACAAAAGAATTATAATAATATAAACAGAAGAATTCAAGGGACTGGGATCCTCAGAATGTGTTGGCCTTAACTATATATTGTGATAATTGTGCTCTTTGAGACAACTGTTATGTACGTTTAATAGCTGCACATTGTTTTTATGTACGCGTAGATGGCCATCCCCATTATTATGAATTTATTTTGGTATTGTGACGTTGCAAGTATCCAGTCAGATTTCACCTTATGGTTCATTGCAGGACCGACTGTACTTTGTCATGGAGTATGTCAACGGTGGTGATCTGATGTTCCAAATCCAGAGGGCTAGGAAATTCCACGAGCCCAGAGCCAAATTCTACGCAGCTGAAGTGATCCTTGCTCTGCAGTTCCTGCACCGGCACGGTGTAATATATAGGTGAGTCTGAGAAGCTTCTGTCTTCTATCTGTGACTTCAAACCGGTCTCTAGTTATACCCGCTTCTCCTTTGATTCATTCCAAGATAGATGTTTATAAAAATGTCTGTTCTTTTTTGCTTAGTTTTGATTTGTCAAGACGTGTTGTGCAGTAATCAGTGGTTCAGCATTTGGAGGGAAATGTGTGAATCTAGTGGAGTGACATGCCTTTGCGTCGTGTATTGTGTGTCTTGAAAACCAGCTTTACACTTTGGCTGGTTCATTCTACGTTCACTCTAGTCCCCTTTGTTCATTTTAGCACTCTGAAGGATCATTAGACTTGTTTAAAAGTGTGCATTTCACAAAAAGTCACAGTTTCACGTTGTCTGTAGGTTAATTTTACTATTACAAGTTTGCAGCATTTTGATTATTTCCCTCCTTTTTACCCATCAGCAAAAATGATAAAAGTGCCCTGACTGGGGTTTTGAAATCCTAACCCTTGGTTGTGTAAAAATTACATTAAAATGGAGGATTAAGGGTTGTTAGGGTTAATTAGTAGTGATATCTCTGCAACTGTACTTAAGCACTGGTAGGGTAAAATGTTTATCGTGTTGTTTGCTTTGGCCTGGTCACTGCAGAGATTTGAAGTTAGACAACATCTTGCTAGACAATGATGGCCATTGCAAACTTGCCGATTTTGGTATGTGCAAGGAGGGGATCATGAACGGCAGAACAACGGCGACATTCTGTGGCACACCAGACTACATTGCACCTGAGGTATGTTGAGCGGATGGCGGGGGGGGGGTTACTGTACACGGTAATGTAAACCGACAGCTCTGTTATCGCCTCACCGTAAGGTGGCCCCTTGGTAACACAACACTGTATGGCTGAAGCGGGCTATTTAGCTTTGGTCATCCTCATCCATTGCTGTTTGCATAGTGACTGGGGGCGTAACCCCTTGCTATAATGTGTCCAACTCTGTGAAAAGTCATAAGTCGCTAGAGCTACTTTTTGAGTCAAAGGCCTTTAAAAGTATCTAACGCAGTGCAAGGCAACGGGAATCCTCCACACTTTTACCCACACCATTCCTTTTTAAGTCAGGATTCCATACTGAGCAGTACATTACTGTCAAATGGTCTTACTACTCACTTTCAAAGAGTGGATCACATATGGTTTCAGGGATTAATGGCTTTCGACTGGCATCCATGAACACAGATATTGACAAATAGAAGGAGCCACCAACATGGAGCAGTGTTTCTGAGGTTGTAGGTTCAAATCCAACTTGAGTCAATTTGTATGTTCATCTGTATTGAGTTGAATTTGCAATGGGGATTGGCCTGTTTGAAATCAGGAGGACGCACAAACAATTCTCATAATCGTTGCATAACGCCGAGTCCTGCTATTTGACAAGTAGGATGTCATAAAAATCTGGCTGCCAGTTGCCCGTTGAGGCATCACTGCATGTAATGTAATTGTGGAAACTGTCAATTAACTGAAACTGAAACTTACACGTTTACAGACTAGCCACGTAATTCCTACCCCGTGACTCTTAGTAAGACAACTTTCATGAAATGATGAAATGGAGATGATTCTTTCGATGAAAGAATGGCACGCTATGCACATTAAGTTGAGTTCTCTGTAAGTTGAGAATCTTTTGCTAGTTTTGACTTACTTTAATTTCTTTCAATTATCAGTGTTTTCCTTTCACTTCTTGCAGACGGTATTATTTTGGGCAAAAAATGTCCAATTTTAATAAAGGCAAGATACAACCATCATTTATCGATGTTCAGTCAAAGCCTTACATACTGATTTGGAAGAGTAATTTGAACAGTATTTCTACTATATTTTTGTGCTGCACCCGCGGAGTGATATTTGTTACCATAAGAGGCATTGCATAACAGCCAAGTCCAAGTGCGGCACACGGTCGACCTCTGCAAACCTCTTCGCCTCATGTGCGTATAGGAAAGAAATGAGAGAATGAGCTGAGTTGAGGCATGCTTGATGTTTAAACCCCTCAGCCGTGCCTGCGTACACACAAGCCAGATCGTGGTCGCACATCCTCCGGGCAAAGTCGCCAAATTGTCTGCGCAGAATGTCTCAAATGTTGGCATTCTTTCTGATTTTGTAGATCCTGCACGAGCTCGACTACGGCCCGTCTGTGGATTGGTGGGCCCTAGGAGTCCTGATGTACGAGATGATGGCTGGCCAGCCTCCCTTTGAGGCCGACAACGAGGACGATCTCTTCGACTGTATCCTGCACGAGGATGTCCTGTACCCGGTCTGGCTCAGCAAGGAAGCAACGTCCATACTGAAAGCAGTGAGTTCTCACTTCCCAGTCATTTTCCCAGAGTTGTGTGGAGAAGTCCTGAGTGAATCAGAGTGCCAAGCCAAGCCACGGTGTATGTAGAATGTATGTATGGTCCTGTGTGTTGATGGTGTCACACTCTGCTTATAGGCACACCTTCCTGTGGAGCTGTGAATCAGTCGTCCCCACCTAGCTCCCGCTGGAAAGTGCTCTCGTAAACAAAGTGGGACAGCAAATTTTCTGCAGGTGTATGTGTGAATGAGTCACCTCATGTCATTATCACATCATGTCAATGGATCTGATACTCTTACCCATGTGAGCCAAACATTACGGCTATGGCTGATAATGCACGTAGCGCCTGTTCCTCTGAAAGCCTACGGCTAAGTGGCTTCAGCCACTTCCCATATCCACATGTCATATCCTCAGTCGCAGCCAATTAATTCAGACTTGGCCTTTAATGAGGTGATCAAATGCATACTCAGATTGCATCACAGATTCTTTGCCCACTCTCTTCTCTTCTCCCCTCCCCGGTAGTTCATGGAGAAAAACCCAGCCAAGAGGTTGGGGTGCGTTGAGAGCCAAGGTGGGGAAAACGCCATCCGGCAGCACCCGTTCTTTTCCGACATCTCCTGGGAGAGATTGGAACAGCTCAAAGTGGAGCCACCATTTAAGCCCAAGATTGTAAGTACATTGATTCAAAAGGATTTTTTTCCCTCCAGTTAACCCTTATTTTCAAGTTTTGGGGTTTTTTCTATTCAGAAGGTAGTTTTGTGGCATTTTGGTTTTTGTACTAAATTGAATTTCCATGTTTATAAGCAACACATTTCAGGGAGTAAACCTCAATTTCTCCTTAGTGATTAACTTTTTGTGACATTCATAAACAAGTCCCTTTCGCACTTTTTTAACCCTACCTTAAAAAGGATGAATTTGAGGTGAATAAATAACCCTTAAATTCATTCAAACAAGGACTGGATGGTACAGGTGTAGTATTGTATGGCAGTTTACAATCTATGCTTTCACGCATATTAATAAAAAGACCATAAAATATGACAAGAGGCGATGGTTTCAGTCGTCGCACTCAAACAAGAGGCTTCAGTTCTTGGCAAGATTGAGCTTGTTAAAATACAGCAGCACAACCATGGAAGAATTAAATGTGAAAAATAAATGCTCAGCTCCAGTTTCCAGTTTTAAATGAAATTCTCATGAGGTAGCAGTATATGACATACTGTGCACATTGTTTTCTGCTTTAGCTTTGAGGAAACAAGTTGCACATCAAAAAATAGCCTATGGAAAAAATAGTTAAGCTCCAGAGTCAAAATGAAAATAAAATTCTCATGAGGTAAGTGAGGGTCCCAATCAATTGGCTACAGCGGGAAATTACAGCGAGTATTTGGCAGCATCCAGCTCCCATAGAATCATGCGCAATATGAAGCCGCAGCCAACTGGTTTGGACAAGACCTTCGTAAAAAGATACATTAACGACGTCATCTGATAAGAGTGCCCGACTGAGATGTATGGAGGCCTAGGGGGACTCCTTCACCGTACATATTACTCAACCCCACACACCCATCAAAAACACGTTAAACTTACGCGGTAGCAGAATTCCTGCCGATTGAGTAAGTTTGGAGGCTTTTGGAAATCGTTTTCTGCAAAATTTGAAGATTCTTTATTTTGCTGACGCGCAGGTCTACGACGACGCGCGCGGTGACCAGAAACCAGAGACTTTTTTGGGGGGGGGCCTTAAATGCGATTTTTCTCGAAGGTATTTGCATTGCGTACCATAGGGAAATTTATCACTTCGTAAAATTGGTGGTGATGATGATATTGTGCACACTTCCGGCACGGCAGAGCTCATTGGCCCTCTCTTGATTTTGCAGAAAACGAAAAAGGACGTCAACAACTTCGACTCGGACTTCACCAGGGAAGAGCCTAAGCTCACACCCATCCAGGCCAACATCATCAAGTCCATCAACCAGAACGAGTTCACCGGCTTCACCTACACGCGGCCAGACCTGGACCGACAGCTGCAGACGACAACAGACATCGACTGATCCACGGTTACCGCACGGGGGAATCGGCGCCCGTCCAAGAAGTTGAAAAGGAAGTAGGTCGGGGAGGGGTGGATGCAGAATTGAGATTCAGAAACTGAGCTGGTGTTCTTCTCTCAGATCTGAGTTCTGCTCTGCTCTGACCAGGGAACGATGGCTTAGGCATGACACAAGATTTGGAGCTTGTCTCTAAGCCACTTTGTAGCAAGTTCAAATGACTAGTCTCACAACCAGCTGGGTAGCATCATAGGCATATAATAGGTATCTCTCTGTCCACAACAGAAACACTCATTTTGTGCGTCTCTGCTTCCCCCTCAGGAGGTTGTCTTCAACTTTTCCGATCTTTGACCATATCCTTGAAAAAAAAAAGTTTTCTTTGTTCCCAGACCATGAAATTATTCAGTAGGTGAGATAAAAGCCATCAACTTCGCCACCCAAATTGATGACGTAAGTGCAGACTCATAAAAGAAACTCCCAATTCCCAAGCCTAAGTTCGACTACAACAGTATTGAAAACAGAACTTTTAAGTAACTTTCACAACTGTTTGAAGCCCAAAGTAACTGCCTACCAGTTGTAACTATGATATCAGCGTGTGAGTCACTGTCTTGAATCACAGTTGGTGACAAATTTGAAAAGAGAAATATTTTAGACTTAATCCAGCCACTCCCTGTCACTGCTGAACTTTCTGTGGTATATTCACAATGGTAGGCTGAGTTAATGTATCCATCTGCAATGTACAAGTGTTTAACATTAAAACGGAATGTCGTACACACCGTCATCACGTGCGGATGGAACTTGTACAAGTTTAGCACTGGCGAATCTTTGGTAGCAAATTACAAACATGTGAGAGTTTTTAAGAAGTTGATCCTGAGAGTCAAATTTTCAAAACCTTGTGCATGGTTGACAATATATAAACTTTGATCTCGTAGGAATAGAATAAATGTTGGAGATATTCATATGTAGATATGTAGATTACTTCTTTTCCCTTTTTTTTTTTGAGAATGATACAGTCAGAATGTAGTTGACGGCCTAGGCGTCTTGCACTGATTTTTTTTTTAGCAAGGCTTAGAGAAGTCTTCAAACTGCACTGTACATGTGTAAACTGTTGCCCCACTGCAACCATGTATATACTATAAAAGTATTGTTATTAGCAAACAAACAAACGTAAGACTTGTCTGTGTATTATTCTTATCAGAATTATGACAGTCTAGCTGCAACTCACGATACAAACCTTGTATAAACTTGTAACTTTTGCTCTTTTCTTACGGGGGACCGCTTTTTGTCAGATGTGCAATCCACATTACATGTTAAGTGTTTTTTGTGTTTTGTTTTGTTTTTTTATTTGAGAGAGGTGGAATTGATGAGCAGTATAAAATTGAATATTGCCAATGCCAATTTTGAGGAGTTTGTGCAATGATGAATAACAATAGGTCATGTTGGCAAGCTTAGGAGATTGAAGCCCCCCCCAGAAATACCTGAACCATCGCTGTAGATTGATCATAGTTGTTATACACCGAGCAAGTTAGCTTGCATTGTGTTGGGCAGCACTGCAGTAAGGATATTGCATGCGGAATACAGAAAACCTGATGGGAACCAGCTATTCTTCATCAGTTCCACTGTGCAAATGTCGAAGACCAGCAGCCGAGTTCGCTCAGTGCTACGCTGTCACAGCACTCCACTGATGCGCCATTTATGGCGTGCGTTGTGCAAGAAGTTACAAATTATGGCACGACTTACGTGGTCCCTGTGGATGTCATAAGTTGCAGCTTGTGAAGTGTACAGCATTACGGGCTGGTGATGCCTTGCTGAGGTATACTTTAATAAACTGTCTTGGCAAGATGGCTGCTTAGCTGAAATTTGTTTCAAATGCCTAGTGATCAGCACATGTAGTAATATCGGTCACTCTATGTACTAACTTGCCATTTTAAAGCATTATTGCCTGAAAAGATACTGAAATTATTGGACTTGAACTTGGACTAGGATTCAGAAAGTTGATTAACTTGACTAATTTACCTTGATTCTTAAGAAGTGTAAGTACTTTGGTGTGCACTGTAAAGGTTGGGATGTTGCCTGTTCAGATGACCGACTTAATCTTGATGTCTAGATTTCGTCTTGATGTCCAGAACCTGGGCTTGTTGACAAGGTCATTGAGACTTGGACACTGAACAGAACAGTGAAGTTGTGAGATGAAGTGAGTGGAGACTAGTGCAGTGACTCAGCATGTGCAGTCTCAGATCAATCCGTCTGATAGTCACAGTGGCCTTGTGAAAAGGCTACAAGAGCCTCAGCGTGGTATCACGTGACAGGGAAGCCATGCCCGTGGGGAGGTCTATGCTTTACATGAAAATGAAAGTGAGTTTCAGAATATCAACACCTGCCGTTTCAATCTGACATTGTTTGTCATTCCAATGCATTTGTTTCCCTCTGGATTTTTTGTCAGCTATGAACCAGGCTTAAAGGTACAGTCCATCATTTGTCATTTGTGCAGTAAGTTCATTGGAGGCAACCAACATGCTCAAAATCTAAAGAAGGATGCTTACAACTGACCATACAAAGTTGGAGCTCAGTGAATGCTGTATATTCCGAGAAAGACAACAATTAGTCAAAGATGTCGATATAACTCATATACATGTGTAACTCTATAACTGTTTCGAATCGCACAAAAATTCACTGTTTCAGACACGCCGTCATTCAGCTGATAGCAGCTAGGTGATGTACTGCAATGAACCGACGAATCATAGCAGCTGTGTACGAGTTTGCATCATGTCAACACTTGCACATGCTTCACCAAATTAAAAAAAACAACTACTAAAGGCAATTTCCAGAAAGGGGTCTTCAGAGACCTAGGAAATGGCCGTTTTTGTTACTTTTTCCAAAATGACAGCTTGCCCAAAAGAATGATTTCACAGGGAGCCTATTAGTCCCATAACTATCATTAAACCAAGTACGCATTTCAACGAAAATTTTATCAGTTGCTTTATGGATAGCTGCAAATGTGGGACTGTACCTTTAACACTGCATTGACCTCACATAAGCCTCTGAGGGGATGTAGTTGGTTGACATGCTTTTTTTAAAAGGTCGACACCAGGGTTTACGTGCTAGATACAATTTGGCAGGGAACCAGTGAGAAGCAATACATACTAAAATGAAGTGTCAGCTGGTAACCTAAGATAAGCAAATATTTTCCATGCTGAGTAGATTTCATTGTTCAGCCGCTCCAGGAATACGGCCCCATGGACCGAAGTTCCGTAGGTAGAGAAACTGTGTCTCTAGCAGTGTTGTCGAATATGGTCCCTCACTCTTGGATGGTCAAAGTTGATACTGCTGCGGACTTTCAAAGTCAAAATTTTTTTTTTTTCAGTAATCACTGTGGTCGTTCTTCAAGCAAGTGTTAAAAGCAGGAAAAAAAAAGAAATATCGTTCTATTAATGACAGTAGCTGATAATGTGCAACTTACCTGTTCGTTGATAATACCAAATCACGTAGATCCTGTACAGTGTGACACCATCATTACAAACGTTTATAAATGAGATCAACCTTTATACAGAAGTTATCAGATGATCTGAAAGACATAGAGGCTGTGTTTATTTATTAAGTTACTCTCAACTTGAGCTTGTTCAAGTCCTTGTTTCAATTTGGGTATTCCTATTACTGAAATTTGGGGATTTGTATTGGGTTGGAGGGTTGGGAGACAGTTTAGGAACTATTATACATATCAATAACTGTTAGTGGATCACAAGTTTATACAAGCATTTCTGCTAGGCAGGCAGTTTTAGAGGTATGCTTTCTAAACAATGTCAGGTTTTTTCCCCCTTGAATTCTGACTTCTCTCATGATAGAAGTACTGGCATTGTAAGTGCTACAAACAACAGTATCATATGTAGTTGTCTTGTTGGATTTGCCCAACCCACGTACCTGACTGTAACCTGATCTTCTATCGTTGAGTCTACGAGATATGATCATACAGTTTAGCAATGCTGTTCCAGTGAGGGAGAAGCTTTTAGCGAGATTGATTAGGGAGACCGTCTTTCCAATATGAGGCACATTTATTTTTTAAGTAATAACTACAAACTTGAGACACAAAAAGCTTTTGTATGGAGGTGAATCTTTAAATTTTGAGAACAAACTTTATTTAAAAAAAAAAAGGGTGGCAAAGCATTTGTGTAGTTTCCAATATCCTCAATAAATGCAACATTTACTAAAGACACTGTAATTTCGGGGGGAGGGTTGTTTTTGGGTTTTGTTATTTATCTTCCCACATATGTATTGCATCCTCATATGATCAGTGGCCAGTTATAGATAGAGTACATGTAATTGCTGAAGCTGAAGTTTCTAGACAGGACTGCAAATACATTTGTAGCCAGATTTGAAGCCAAGAGAATTATTAATTTGTTTCAGTACTCAGCATTTGAATGGTATTGTTATCAGGAGGAATTCAAGTAATCTACTCAGCATTCAGTTAGTTCCACTTGTGTTTATTTTTATTTATTTTTGGGGGGGTCTTTCTCTAGAAATAGACTCAACTCAACCACAAGATCATTGTACATGTATACAGTAAGAGCAGGAAAGGTGCCACCATTATTGGCATGCTTCACAAATGTAGAAGCGGTCTTGCACCCCGACTGGTCCGTACAAAGACACTTAAGTGTGTTCACAGCCCTTTATGTGTGCTATTGTAGATAGATTTTTAACAGTAAATCATGTCACCTTTTGTGTTGAAAATGCATTGATGGCATGGATTTGGCATTTTATAACTATAGAAATTGATCAGGACAGAAAACTGAGGTGCACTGTTTGGCATTATCATGAAATTCTTGACTCCAGACTGGAGTAACGGTGCATGTGTTGGAGATGGCCCGTGACATGTGTTGATCTCCCAACTCCAGTCAGCATAGTGATCAAAAGCGAAGAAGTTGTGGATTTCCCCCCATATTGCAAATTTCTTCACGGTGCAATAACCTTATCTGAAGAACATGTGGAGAATGATTTAAGATGTCACCAACAATTATAACAAATATTGCTGAATGGTTGTGGCCCCCAAAGAAACCGAGAAAAATTCCCAACTTGGCTCAATTTGAGCTTCTTGCAGTGGACTTCTGCAGTGACCTGAGAAACATTCAGACTGTGATAGCTTTGACCCAGGGCCACAGGTTAACAATAAGTTATGATAATATGCTGGGTCCACAAGTTGACTTTATGGACCAGCTGCCCCTAAATTGGAGCTTGAAGCTCTTATTTAGAGCTTCTTGCAACTTGTGTTTTTATCTGTGAAAAGAGCTTTTTTGCCTCACACAGAGGACAGGGCTGAACAGATACCGTAGGCATACGTAGTTTTGTTTATTCATAATTTGCAGTTTATTTTGTGAATGTACATGGTCAGTGAAAAAGAAATTGTTTTTTGTCTCCTCCCGTTGAAAAATTAACCTGTGGAAAAAAAATGGTACAGTGCTGAATATCATCATCAAAATGTGCACCAGACTGCATCAGAAGAATTTTTGAAGGGTCCAAACCCATCTTTAGTAGTTAAAATGACTTAAAAGTCCTGGCAGTCTCGGTATTGCACAGCTGGTAGGCTCTTCAGAGTAGACTTAAAATTGGCAGAACTGGATTTTTGGAGACTTAAGTATAATTTGTGTGTTCATGCCTGTGCATACACTCGTCCCTTTTTGAGATAACTTTCCAAGATGATATGAGGCAAAAATGACTATTTGTTTTCAGTTTCCATGGTGACCTATTTAAAAAATGTATCTGAATACCAGGCAAAATTAACAGGTGGCTAACTCACGGTGGCTTATGGAACTTGACCATGTCTGCAGTTGTCATGTCATTTGATGGGCCATTTCTGTGATCCTTATTGTTCTGCGATCTGGGATTGAGGTTGACAATCGGTACAAGTTAGCCAGAAACATGTAGGCACTTTTTTGCATTGCGTTTTGAGTTTGAATTTTATTTAAAGCCTGAAATACTGCCTTTAGAGGGTGTTTATATGTCTGTGCATGGACAAGGGGAGCAAGAGTGTTTTTGCCCGCTGGTGAAAAAAAAATTAAAGAAATAAAAAGAAAAGAAAAAAGCAAAATAAAAAAAAAGAAAGAAAGAAGAGATGGAAAGAGGATGAGCATCAACTCTGGCCTGCAAAAATACCTGAAAATTTAACCCCTTCCATAGTCCATGATACATTAGTTTAGCTGCTTATGAGTGATTTAGCCCTCCTAAACTCCAGAAGAGAACCCAAGTGATGCCCTTGTCTGTTTGTCAAAACAGTCAAGAATGTCAACGTGAACAGTTGACCCTGTAGGATTTCAGGAATGGCCCCACATCATCATTTGCTTCAACCTTGCTGGTTCATTTGCTGTAGCTCAGAAATGCTAATTGGCCATTGTTATCTTCACACATTTTACACTGGTCCCATTCAAAAGGCTGTGTACTAATACCTTGGTTTCTTGAGGAAGAAAACAAAATGTCTTCTGAGATGATCTTTTAAACTTTGGAAATGGAGCAGGTTTAGACGCAATTATTTATTGTGCAGTATTAATCAGGATATCATTTCTTTCTTAAATTGCGCCGTCTTTCTGTGTTGTGTATTTATTTTACAAGGAAGCTTTGAGTCTTAAGCCAAGATTTTTTTTAAATTGAATAAAAAAAGTTCATTGCCTCATAGGGGTAAATGAGATTGTCCTGTTTGAAAGCCTTGATTGTTATCATGGGATGAGCATCTGAGTAAACTATTTGTGTAGGCGAAACAAAACACAATACCTTGTTGATTTGGATTTGTAGATTTGCATTGTATAAATATTACCACCTTGGTGGGTTGTATTAATTAATTTCGGGCCTCCACTCTCTACAAACTAAATGTACCATGACTTTGATTTATATATTTTGGATTTGAAATTTCCAAGCCTGTACACTGGACTGCCCTTCAAAATAAACAACAAAACCAAAAAAAAAAATCAAATCTGGCCCAATCCTACCAGCCCAATTACAAATCTGTGGATAAAAGTGCAGAGTAGAAAGGGTTAGTCATTATCAAATGTGTAGAATGAAAAAAACCCACCTTCTCGGTCAGTGGTTTTTATAACAAGTAAATGCCTGTCAAGACAGATTTTCACATACCCTTTGCTTCACAGAGGTGCAAAATGTGAATTTAAGCAGTAACTACGCAGAAACTGTTGAGGAGTTTGGGGAAAAACAACAGATTTTAAAAACAATTTTAGTTATCTTTTCCTTGGCTCAAGTAGCCTGTGGAGACTGTCCCATTCAGTTTCCCGATTTCTATGGACTGCCTACACAATATTTATGCATTTTTTGTATCATTGGGTGAGTGGAATTCACCCGTCAGCTTGTTGGTTATAAGTAGACTTCTTATGCATCGGTTCACAGCATAAACAAACAAAAATATCGTGGAGTGTCAAATCTATACCACAGTTTGTTATTGAGGAAAGGTTGTAGCATGTTAGAACTATAGACTGACGGCACCTGCTAAGTTGCGTGACCTACAGGGGGCATCAAACATCAACAGACGTGGTGTCCTCCCATAGCAAAGTGCCTTTTAAGTGTTTACCAAATATGAAGCAGATTTATGGTGAAGTACCCATCACGGCAATAGACTGAGTACTACACTGTCAGCTTTATTTTTGGTAAATGATACTTATGACACACTTTGTTGTGGGAGGACACTGTGTTCATTGATGTTTAATACCCACTATAGGTCACATGACTTACTGGGTGCAATCGGTCTATTACTTTGAATTACCATAATGTAATTAGAGCTAAGTGTGCTTATAGTAAACACAACGGTTCTAGTAAACGAGATTTCTCGGATTTGAATTCCACAACAGTTAACTGTCATTCGCTCCCTTGTGTCACTCAGAAACCATTAAATGTGTATAATGAAGAATTCATTTGAGCCATTCGTAAACTGGAACCCAAATGGGACCGGAAATCAAAATTGTGGGGAAAAAGAGCAAGTTAACAGTGTCAATGCACTATTAGAATATAGTGGGGGGAAATTAAATACTCTGAACATTCTCTCTTCTCGTTTTGTACCGTCGGTTAATATTTTCCCCATTTCCAAAAGATCATATTTAGGTTCCAGTATTTACATATATAGTCTTTGGAAACTGTGTGTTTTAAGCACCCACAAACCTACACGAGGTTTTTGGCAGATGTAAAGATTTTAACTATCACCAACTCCTACAAGTAAACAAAACAATCTGTGATGTCATTTTTATCCCTAGCTAGATGGAAGAAATTTGTGCTTCTAGCTGTACTTATGTGGTCTAGCTGTTGTTCTTGTGGTGACAATTTGAAAAAAAAGAAAATTATTAAGACAAATATTAATTACAAGTTTACAGTGTAAAAAAAAAATAAAAATTAAAAAAATGTTATCGATGATGTACTGGAGTCAAGAAATTGTTGGATCACACCCTGTTGTATCATACCAGTGATAACGTGACTGTGGTTCAGGTGAACTAAAAATAAATGTGCACCTTGTATACAACGTCAGTTGGTCCCGTCTTTGTTGTTCAGGTTCATTTCTTGCTCAATGCCTCGTTGTCCACTCTTTTTTTCAAGTTACATCCCAACTTCTATCCCACATCCTGCATCAATACTATTTATAAGCCAGTGATCACGTTTCCATGTTTTATTGAGGAAATATCCTGAGCTAGAGGCGAGGGACATTAGCAGCGTTCATTCTCCAGCGCTGGTCCGACGTTTAAGACCAGCCAAACACCAAGTAATTCCCCTTCATAAATACGTTTTGGAGTCGCAAAGTCCAAACAAATTTTACAATTTTCAATTTCCAATGATTCTTGTCAACACCCCTCTTTCCTTATGATATTTTCCTCTTGCAAGTAGCCATACACATTCTCCATTAGCATGCATGTGACATACTGCGCGAGGTGGCACATAGCCAGCCGGTGCTTTATCAATCAACCGTTTAAGATTGGCCATGTGACGGGCTCTCAACTAACAGAAACAGCTGAACTGTCTTAGCTATTTAGGAAAGCAAAACAAGTTCCACTGCAAGCCTATGACAATGAATTTACATCAGAAGCACAGTGTCTGATATGTCTGTCATGACATTACACCTACCACAGACCTTTCAAACAGCTAAACAGACAAAACTTCCTTAAATTTTAGAACAGCGTGTGCCTTTAATAATTACTGTTTAAGAATCAAGACAAGTATTTTACAGTGAAGATGGTAGTAACACAAATCTTGATCATCTAATCATCAAATCCTAACATTGTTTAATAACATTAAGATGGCTGTGTGCCTGTTTTCGCTTTTGTCAAGTAAACAAACATGGTGGAGACGGGCTCTTAACTCCACATTATTGAACTGTATTCTTTCAGCTCATTGGCTGGCATTGGCCACTTTTTCTCAGCGCCCAAAGGGCTCATGAATGAGAATGGTACCATTGAGTAGTTACAACTGAGTCTACATGATAATGTACATGTAAATATGCAGATTAATAATGACTTGCCAATGCCGTATGATGATCTCATGGAATTCAAGCCAGGTGGAGTCTCATACTGCAGTCCAGTGTTGTAGTTGAGACCGCCGCAAGACCAGAAACAAGGATATTTTTAAGACAAAGCAAGACCAGTCACAAGACCAGAGGCAAGGATGGACAATAATGATGGAATGCTGTGGCAGCAGTTCGGCTTACTAGCTGGTGACTTGACTTCGAACTGAAGGTTTTACCCTGGTCTTGCGATAGTCTAAAGGAGTCTCAACTACAACACTGCTACATGTCCTTGATGTGGTATTGTGTGTGTCTATGCTGTACAGCTACTTGGATCTTTACTGCTGGATATGCTGAAATTGATCCGAGGTTCATTAAGGAGATGAGACACCACTACTTGACCAGTTATCAGAGGCCTGGTTATTAGTCTACCAGTCTTGAATAAAGTAGAAAACAGAGGCTCAACACTGGGCTCCAATTATCAGGGGGTATAGTATGGGGTGGGGTGCCTTGATATATGCCCTCAGTGAGTGGGCCCATTCTTTACTGCATAAGTACTTCAACAGTGGTGGGTATCTACACCCTGAAAGGAATGCCAAGCTGATATGCCAACATCACCCTCCAGATGACCCCATTTAGTGTCTTTGGGTAATGAGGTACTGCACCTTTTAGTGCCCTCTGTAAGGAGGCCATTGGCACTACGTAGCTGCTATGTATACTGCATGTCAGAGTTGGCTACCAGTTCAACAAAATGAACACGTGTTCTCGACTACAGTCCCTCAACCAATCTCACACGATGCTGTTCTGGCCCGGGGCTTCCCGGGGCTTATCTCTCTCCACCCTCTTCCTTCTCTTCTTCACCTGCCCCTTCCCCAACGTCCCCCTCCTCTGAGTTCTCCTCCTCGCTGCTGTCAGAGTAAAAATAAGTCACTGTGGGGCGGTTGGTGTTCACAAACAGGTCCTCGTCGTTATCGCTGTCGCTACTATCCTCTTCGTCTGAGCGACCGGCTTGGTCTCCTAACGAGATGCCCGCCAGGTCTTTGGTGATCACCTCCACGTCCTGATTGTTGTGGGGCTGTCCCATCTCCCCCTCTCCATGCAGTGGCTTGCTTGTGAACTGGTCTGGCCTGGTGGGTGCATAATAAATACACACTGGCTTGTACTTCACAATATTATGTTACTGATGAAATGGACTCCCTGTCAACACCTTTGTGGCATTTGTAATGGGCCAATTTAGTATCCCAACAGCACACGCATAAAATAAAGCCCGTTAGTGATGCTTTATACATTTAACAGCAAAACTTTAGCAATGCAAAGAGCCTAGACCAAACAAAATCTAGCAATGCAAAGAAAAGCAGCTACGTTGTGAGAGTTTGAGCTTAACAAGCTTTCAAGTTTTGGCAGAAGCTGCGAAAGCCATTACAAACCTCTCAAGCCAGCTTAATATTCAAAATTTGACCTTTTAACCCCAACAGTCCTGAATGCTACAAAGTACTACTTAGTGGTAAAATGTAGCATTCAGCCCTGTCGCTTGTAAGAGGACATGACATTATTATTCTCTGAAGCCATAAGATACAATAGAGAAGACAATGTACCATACAGTGCTGTGGCACTATGAATGCATGGTTTCATTGTTCTCTGTACGAGTAACAATGGAATAAACCTAGCCAGAAATAGTAATTTGTAGCGTTAGGTTCTTCAGGCTCAGAGTGTTATGTAGTATTTGGTAGTACTGAGTACTCCAAGCCAAACAACGCCCGGTACTGTTAAACTTAATCCCAGCAAGTTAAGGAGACTTACCAGAGCCCCTCCTTCTGGATGTACTTGATCTGCTTGGGATAGAGGATGGTCGTGATCTCTGCCTTGACTTTGTCCCCTTCTAGGATAGGGTCTACAATCACAAAGTCCCCTGAAAGTGAGCATCAATGATACAAATCACCGCAAGTGGAAATAATTCTGTGATATTGGGTGCAGGATTCCAACTGAAAGTTGCCACTGTTGCCAAATGGCAATTAATCACAAACGTTGGCTGTAATCTGTTCAGAACAAAATTGGTACTTTTAAGTTTGCCCCGCCTGAAAAATGTCGGTGGCTACAAAAATGTGCTTCTAACTACAACTTAGGCCAGTCTTTAAATTCTGCCAACTTGAAACTTGGGTGTACTCGTTCGGAAAGCTCTTTTTGTTGTCCAGCACACATTTTGCAACGCAGCAACGACGTGATCACAAAATACTTTGCGTCTATTCAAGGAAAGTTCTTGAATCTTTGACGTACTTTACGGTGCAGGAAACTCATTCGGTATTGTTTATATTTCAACTTCTCAGGTAAAACTAGACTGGTCTCTGCAATATAAATTCCTGTAATATCAAATATGGGCTGGCAAGGAAGGGCACTCACCCCCTGGAAAAAATTTTGGAAAAATGAAACAGAGACAAACAGGAAAAAAGCCAAGGAAATGAAAAAAAAAAAGAGATTAAAGGCAATGAAAATCACCGATTTCTTTGTCTTTTGAGTGAGCCATCAAACTGGCCCCCTCCCACTGTTAATCATTTCAAAGCTGATAAGTCCTTTGCCCCTTACAAAATTCCTCCCACCCTCCCAAAAAGTGGTTTGTCTCCCCTTCGGAAAAAATCCTGGCGGCACCAACAACAGAGTTGGAGTCAAATCCAAATCCAATCACAAGCCCTTCCACAAATCCAGTCCCAAATAATGTGATGGACTGCTCGTGACTTGGCTTAAGACAGGCTGACATTTCATGGACTTGTGTTGCACTTGCAAGGCACTTGATCTTAATTTTGCACTTCGCATCAGGGGTGCTACATGTAAATTATACCCGCTTCTGACCTTAAACTGCCGTCTACATTCAGATGATGTTCTCAGAGTAGTGCTTTGGGATCACACTGAGAACCGAGTGCCAAAGTGAATAGGTCATATGCAAGAACCAGCACGTGAACCAACACATGAGCATACTCCATTCTTTGCACTACACCTGCTGGTTCAACACGATGTCACACTTTGGTGCCTTGTATAATCGGAGTGTAATGGGTAAAACCTGGTATAGAATTGCAGGGGGCTTGTGAGGACCTGTGACGGACTTGACAACAGTCCCACTTCTAACCCCCAGACCTGACCCCCTTGAGACCTTGTGATCAAGTCCATCACAGTCAAATTACTGCTTGATTGTTTCCAGTTTCTGCTGTGCACAGTACCTCTTTTGATCCAGACGTTTTTGCGGAACCTGGTGGGCATGCTGACCAGGAACTGTTCCCCTGTGGCTGTCTGTACTTCATGTAGATTATTGCCCCTACTTGCGGTCACCTGAGGTACCAAGAGGAAAGGATTGAGATATTGCTCAGAATTCAAAAGGCATGCACGTGTGCAGAATGAACTCACCACGGTAGTCATTTGGAGGTCGCTGGCTTTGACTGGAGGTCGCTGGCTTTGACAGAGACAGATTCACGCTCTGTTCCCAGTGTGTTGGTGCACTTGTAGAGAGTTGATTGGTGTGTACTTGAACCAATGAGTAATTTTTTTATTTTTCAATATGTAGTTTCAGATAGCATGACATTTTGCAAAAATGGCTCCTGCAAGCATGCAGACAATGGACTGCAAGTTTTGATTGGCCAATGCCTATTTCTTTGCAGGGAGGGGATGTTGTAAAAAACTCCCTGGTTAAGTCACACGATGTGTTCAGTGTAGCTGAGACTGAATTGCTATCAAGGCCACGCAAGACATTTGCTTTGGCGAGAGGAACGACCCAAACAGGAAGTGTCCAATCATCCTTGATCTACCATAGGATGGAGCCTAGATATGGTCCAATTCAACAGTCCATCTGTGAAGGCATGTATATCAACTTTTCTACTGCCACTCATCAAAGTAAAAAAATAGCACTTTGGCTCGACATCTGGGATTATTTCAAATTGCATCTGCAAGTGTTTTCCCTTTCACAAGATCTGGAAAAAACTCAGCAGATGACAATTGTCCGCCTCAAGCAACTAACTCTAGCTGATCTGATTATAATACTTTAAATGTTTGATGAGGATCAGAGAACAATATCACTACAAAGTGTTAGCTTTAACCTGTGTGGGAAGGGAAATTTCCATACAGTGACACCCACCTTAACAATCTGCTGATGATCCTCAGGGAGAGTGTATTCATCTAGAACTTCTCTAGTGACATGCTTCCTCTTGGTTGCCTTAGACATTATGGTGGCCGGTGCAGGTGGTCAGCTGTTGTAGTGACCAGTACACGATACTGCAAAGATGCCTTTTTGCTTTGATCGATGTCCAAAGGTTTCGTCAAGATCGGCAAGCAGTATTGCAATGATGTAGTGCTTCCTCCTGATTGGTAAATAAACAAAGCAATTCAAAGTTTCAGAAAACCTGACGCTTAGATGTACATTTCTGGCATCAAACTTGACCGTGTCCCTGCTAACTGCAACAGAATTTTATAGCATGCGAGAAAAAGTTACCAAATACAAAAGAATGCTACTGAACACAACAAATTTTTTGTCTTACATTAGCCTACATGTACATTTTGTACTAGGGGAAAACTGTGTGCTCTGGTCAGTCATGTCAGTCCAAATTGACTGACTGGTGCAGTACCTTTGCCATGTTTGTCTGCTTGTGGCTTTGGGCAAATTGGACTGTGGCACAGCCAGGCTATTTTCAGAGGAGAAATGAGGGAGGGGGCAAGACTTCCTGGGGGGGGGGAACTCCCCACCTTCTGACCTATGCCACTGACAATGACTGATGTTTGGAGAGGACGGTGCTAAAAAACTTGTGGAAGAATTAGGCTACCAATTTCGGCCGTTGAACCATGGAGGTAGGAAGAGACTACCTCCATGGTTAAACAGATACATATGTAACTTACAGCACTAATGACTAAGCAGATAAGTGGGCCTTTCAGGAATATGGAAGGGAGCTTCACTTACCGCACGCACGACTAAGTACAGTACATGAATAACCGGCCAACTGAGCTGGCGACTACGAAATTTGAACACCGCAAGTCGATGGGGCATAGAGTGCCAGTGTTCCACGCAACTCTATGCCTCGTTACTTAGCCATAATTGCAGAAATGTCCACTTGGTTATGTTGAAAATTGTTTTTCGACGACAGAAAGCGATGTAACGACAGAAAAGTACGTAAGACACCTCACAAATCCTGGAGTCATTCTGTACACGTTGATCGCCATTACTTGTGCTTGCGCAATGGTAGCGGCGGTATCACAACCGGAGGATGGCACTTATGATAATTTATTCCAATACAACATGAATTATGCAATATGTGGGAGTCGTGCGCTGGGACCCTTTTTTCCCTTTTGTGGTAAGGTACGAGGTAGAGGGTGACAAATTGTCATGTCATTAATGAGAAACAAATGTACATAATAGCCCATCGATGATGGTACAGAGATTCTGATCCATTTTTCTGCCCAACAGCACTTGTAAGGGACTTGTGAATTTATCAGACCCACATCTGCATCTGCTTGCTTGCACTTCAAAATGTGCGAGTATACCTGTGGAGGTTTCACATAGTGCACAGTGCATGCAGGACTATAATATGAAGGGAATTGCTCAGTACATCGGCAGGTGTGACTTAATTAATATTCACAATTAGTTTCTTGATGGACAGGTCAAAGGAAAATGAATTTGGAAAATTGCACATGTATCCCAATGCCATTACACAGTACTGTGTCTGTTGGCTTGAATCTCCCTATCCGCCCCGAGCTGAAGTGCACTCCCAATCGGCGAAAGGACAGGCGGTTACAAACGGGATCTTCACGCGCTCTGCGCGTACGCAAAGACCATACATACCGGAATAAATTAGTTGCGAGCACTCAGCGTCCTCTACGTCAAACGAGCATACACTATGCGGTGGGTACCAAAAAAAACACGCCCTCTTTTGTTTCGCTCGGAGCAGTATCCGGTTATGTCCTTTTCTCGGCCAATGTGCCAAAGCTAAAGTTGCTGTCGGAGATGGCCTTAGAACTCTCAACCGAGGTCAAATAGATTGTTTTTATTCTACGTTTTTGACTTCTCTGTGCTTGAATTAAATCCTGCATATTCTAGGCTCTGTGGTAGGCGGTTCCCAGGGGCGTATAGCGACTTGGGGTACGCTGGGGATGCGGCACCCCCTCCCAAATAACAAATTCCATTCCTATTCCAAGCAAATAGAGCTTCGATCGGCAAATGAATCCAAAAACTGGTACATAAGGGATGATACGTTGGCCGTCGGCATTTCCCCTGAAGCATGAAAATGTAGCGTACTACGGATTTCCATGTTACACCACACGAGGTTAGCGAACAAGTTACAAGTCGGCAAAGTGACTCCGGCAACCCCCCCCCCCAAGAAAATGCCTTCGCTGCGCCCCTGGGTCCCATCACGAACGGACAGTGCACATTTACAGAATATTTCCAGATTCGGGGTGTCCCCTGCACCTTTTACAGTTATTATGTCTCTCACTAACATCGTTGGTCGCCGCGGTCTTCAAGTTGAACATTGCATAATTCATATCAGTGAAACACTAGACCCTCCCCCAAACCATGTGACGTCATGTAAGGCCCCTTCCCCGGTTGTGGTGCTACTGGACGCTAAAAATCAAAGGGATCATGCAATAGAGTTATTCTATAACAATCGTTAGTATTTCATATTTGCGTTTCAATTAACCAGTGTCGCAACTAAGGGGGGAGGCACAGGGGCACTCCCCCAGCGGATGCCAGTACCCCCGTGCCCTTCGAATTGAACTGTGAATAATTTCAGTTGAAGTGCAGCTGCAGTTTATTTTCATGTGGTGCCCCTTGAAAATATGCGTGCACCCCTCGGTGCCCCCTATACACTTAGATTAATTACACCACTGTAATTAACCTTAATAATTTTTGCTTCACCTTTATCCGTATTTCGAAGCCATGTGGTGTTTATGCTGATGCATTTTCCATTCGATACACTTAATGATGTTCCGACCTTGTACAGGGATTCCCCATAAATAAGTTGGCATTTTCCATTGTTAATGGCAAAACTATAATGTCATCGGCATTAACTTCAATGTTCTATTGATTTGTGCACGTTTTAAAAACTTTTTGTTGACGTAAATTTCCGTTACTTTAGGAGTTTATCACTTTGTGCGGGCAATAAGCATGCGGAAAAAAATTTTCTCCGAATTTGGAGTTTAAAACTTGAACACGAATACCTGTAAAATAAATGAACAATGACTTACCTAACACCACAGCAGCAGCAACCTCACGTGTCTGGAAAAGTATCAGGGTTCCTGCGGTCAGGAAAAGTCATGGAATTTTGTAAAATGACTAAAGTCGTGGAAAAGTCATGGAAGTAATAAAACACTATGTGATGTCTATTATCAGAAATAAGCGCATAAAATCTGTGATTGTATTTGTAACCTAAAAGGCCAAATAGTCCAAGAAACTGCGCTATAATGGAGGTCGTGGATTTTCATGCTTAGTCATGGAAAGTCATGGAATTTAATTGTCCTTTAGGCGCAGGAACCCTGAGTATGGATAATTTTCAGTTTTTCCAAAAAGTGCATTTTCCAATACAATATTCCCTCAAAAGATTTCAGTTTTCATTTACAGAAGACTATAAAGGTGCACATAAAGTGAGTCTAAAAAAATCCATTGCATGGTTCCCGAAAACAGCGCCCCAGGTGCCTTTTAAAAAGGGCAGCCTGACTGGAAAAGTTTGCGATCATCGGTTCAAACATGTAACAGAGCCAGATTTCGGTTAGCAATTTCTTGAGGGTTTGTTTGTTTTTTGGGTTTTTTTTACTTGGAAGGGTATTATAAGTACATGTAATCCGTGGGTTTTTTTTTTTGGAGGGGGGGTGTTTTTGATGTTTTCACCAGTTACGTCTGAACTGGTGCTTTGGCGCAGTGTTTTTGTACTCCTTGATAGGATTCAGTGGTATGTTTCAAATCTGATTGGTCAGAACCTCTTGTGAACACCCCTTGCATACTCTTTGCGTCTGACGCTTTAGAGTCGTTGTTTTCGATTTCACCATGGAAGGTACTTCAGTGGCCTTCCATCACTGATTCCTCCCTCCGAACAAGGAAACACTTGACTTAATTGCCTGACCTTATCCCATCCTTCACCGTCTATCTTCAAAAGGCCAGCACTCTGAGATATTGGAGTTTTTCCCACCGTTGTACCGCCTCTCTCTCTGGAACTTTCCATTTTTAACCTGCTTCTCTTTCACTTACAATTTTTCTTTTTGCTTATTTTCCTTTTTCCTATTCATTTTTCCCCATGGGCCCTTGTCCTTACCGTTCTTAAAAGTATAATTAATTTCTTTTAAATGTGCCACATCCCTAAGAAAATACATAAGATCATGTGAGGAATTCCCCAATTCCCCCCCCCCCCGAAAATTTTGCCCTAGGTTTCTGGATTTGCCTCTGCTGAAATCGAGGCAGAAACGTTTCATCTTGGTTAACTCCCCGGATAAGGAGTAGTGCCAAAATTACAATCCAAACTCCAGTATGTCACCGGGGACAGCGTGCAAAACTCCAAGTAAAAAAAAACAACGCTATTAAGGGCTATACTGGAGCTGCATGGGTGTTGCTTCCACTCTGCGCCCCGGTTGGCCTGTGTGTAGCATGTAATTACAGCATAGAACTAAAGTGGCACTTGCCGCTTGCTAATGAGCCTCAGAAGTGATGCACGTGTTATCTCCGACCATGGCCAAGTCTTCATCTTCAAACTACACTCTTAAAACAAACTGGTTTGAATAACCAATATTGGTAAAGGCAACCAACCCGTCGGTTAGAGACAACAATGCAACAATGGGTTGTTTCCAATTATTCTGGGCATGTTTTAACCGATTCTGTTTTTAGACTGTACCCCCAGGATGTTATATCGATCCAGTCTATTGTAATGATGCATGTGTAACGGTCTCAGGTGAGGTCATGAATAATCATTATTGATGGACAAAAAGATTGAGCTTCTTGGTAATAGACATCAGTGTCGTGTGTGCACCGGGAGGTGACCTGAGTGCTCTTCGTAATTTCATCCTTGGCACAATGGTCATAAATTATACCTGTATAATGGACGCATATACCAACTAATCTTCTTTTGACTAACAACCAGGGGCATGAGGAGTTAACCTTGCGGGTCGCTGAAACTCGTCAAGGAATCAGATACACCGTAAGCGCAAGTGGTTGTTTCTGTGTGTCTTTGAATTACCACGATCACAAAGCAAGGACAGACCTATATATAAGGGAGAGTATAAAGCAAGGCACTTCCCTCTGGAAAGAGTTTGCCACAACAGAGTGCATCTTTTCCACCGTAAGTGATTGCATTGTAATGGTCATTGGGTTGCTTCTTTAACAAGTAGATGTAGCAAGGTGCCTTCGAGGTTGTTGATATACCAAGAAAACATGCGTTAACAAAAGCCGGATTAAGCCAGGGCCGTATACCCGCTACCGTCCAAAACTTCGGTAACACATCACATCGACTTGTCAAGTTACAAACACATACCATAGTTTCGTTGTCACATCGTCCATTTAGTAATAAGGGCGTGGCATAACGTTGACCCACCGTTGAGTTTGCAGCAGTAGAAAAGGGGCAGCTTACATCCAGGTGGGTGACTGACTTCGAGAGAGTCAAACTTTCTTTTCTTTTATAGACTGTAAAGCATTCATTGTATGGACGCCACTACTTTTTCCATGCAGTAACCTATTAGCTATTTGTGAAAGTAATAACATGTCCTAATAACTTACATGTAATAGTGGAAGTTTTGAGGTATTCACTTAAACAGCAGAATTTTTTAGACCAGTCTCATCGGATTTGTATGGGTGTCAAGCGGTGTCCGTGAGCAAACTATCCAGTCGAAGCTCTTTGGGTCTACACTAAGCCTTGACCCATGCTGTGAGAAGGTTCAAAGAGGGCCGTTTGGTGTATTAAAGTCCGTGGCATATCGTGGGTCTTTTGGGGCAATGGATTTTCCCCTAACTCGATCGACTGTCCAATTGTTTAACTTATCCTCATAGAAAAGTGTGGCAGTACATTTCTAGAATGCTTGCGCTTTCAGTTCTTAAAAACGGACATACGTCTTCAGAATGGTAACTTGTCCCCTCTCCACACTGTTAAAATGCTGGACACAATTTTTTGCCCAACGTTGGGTAACAGGGGAATTGCTTAATTAACTCTTGGACAAAAAGGGAATAACACTGGGTAAATATGGTCGTACAATTAACATTTTCTAACAACCGTTAGGTAAAATAAAACAAGTTTGCCCATTATTAGGAGGAAATCAACGCGTAGGGGTAATTCGCCCGACAGTTAGGCGATTCACCTTGTACCCACCGTTGGGCAAAAAATGCCCAGCGTTTTCACACTGCTCTGGATACGTCACTGTTCGGCAAAGTGAGAGGGGTCTTTGTGAAAAGAAGAGAAAGATCACTGTCATCTGTTGAGATTAAACACAACAGAGAGATTTAATGACATTAAAAAGATTAACAAGGTCTATGTATTCTCAAAAAATCTTCTTGTGATTGTCTTCCTCCTTTCAGATGGTTGGGATTTCCAAGGAACAATGACCGGCCTTAGAGCATACATTTGGATGAACATGACATTGTAAACGGAAACTCTGAAATTACAACGTTTTCACACTCAAGCTCAACTTGACATTCGTTGAAAGTCTAGCACCAAGCCAGTGTTCGTCAACATGTCCAAGAGGTACTTGTTTTATTTGATAGTGCCAATTCTATCAGCGGCGGGGATCCTGCTCTATTTTGTTGCTGGGGAGATGCTGCCACATGCCCCTTTTGTTTGGAGCTACCGGGGCCCATCCCCATCAGACAACAAGTTAAATTCGGGAATCTTGCGCCATTACACCAAGTCGAGCGACGTGGAGCAGCCATCCTGCAACTGTTCTTGTGTGGCAACGGACTCCATTACCAGAGCCTACTCAATTGGTCACCGCGCCACTACACCCTCTAAAACACCTCTGCTAGATTCGTCTAAGCGCCAGAACCCTGTCGGCCACGATGTTGACATTGGCACCAGACTATTTGACGCCAACTCACTGGGTAATAATATCGTAATCCAAGCAGCGATGCGGACCGGGTCTTCTCTCGTCGGTGAGGTATTTGGCCAAAACGACAACATCTTTTACCTCTTCGAACCTGGTATTTCCTTAGAGAACGAATTCGCTTTAAACGGAACTGTTTTTGTACAGCAGTTATACGTCGATATGTTGAGTTCGTTATATCACTGCGATATCACTTCTCAAGATTTTTACCTGAAATGGTTGTCACGCAAAACTCAGAATCATGTTCGGAAAGTGGCTCCGCGGCTGTTTGATTCATTGTGCCCCCAAATGAAACCAGGAGGCTCGGGGCACAGCGTGTGTGGAGCTGTTTTACCCAGGCAGTTTATGCAAGAATGTCGAGCGAAAAGAACTATTGCAATCAAATCTGTTCGCATTTGGCACATTGGGATGTTTCTGCCTCTGATACAAGACATCAACGTGAAACTCAAGGTCATTCACCTCGTCCGGGACCCGCGTGGTATGACTGCATCGCGAGTGCCGGCCATGAATGTCGTGAAGGGGACTCACCACCGTCTAGCGTCCAACTCTTTCACGGAAGAAATGCGCGAATATCTCAGGCGATTCTGCTCCCTGAGTCTGGAAAACAAAGAAACGGGCTGGTACCATCCCAAGTACCGGGACAATTACTTACTGCTAAGGTACGAGGACATGGCACTGAATCCAGAGCGAGTCACCCAACTCATCTACAATTTCACAGGACTCGGTGCGGTCCCAGAGTGTGTCTCTAAATGGATCGCTGAAAATACGCAGACTTATAAGCCGGGATTATATTCAACCACTAGGGTGTCAAGTAAAAGGTATCAAGCCTGGCGTACTACGTTAGACTTCAAGACCGCAAAAGCCATCGAAAATGTTGGACGTTGTGCAGAGATGATGCAGCATTTTGGATATCTCCCCTTGCAAAATGAGTCGCATCTTAGGAAATTATCGTCTTCTTTGGTTGTGCCAATTCCTCCGCCTAGCGGTTCCCAGAAATATAAATCATTCCGATTTGCAGTTTGATTGGGCATTCACACATCAACCATCCAAGTGCCGTGTCAAGTTTTAAGATCTGAAGATCCGAATTGGATGGCTATAAATAGAAACTGTGTTTCCTTGCTGTCTCTGCTGGTTTTTTAGCGTTGCATTCGACTCTTCGTATTTGGACCACAAAATTGAACTAGTTGAACTTGGAATCGGATATTCTGCCCCAATCTTTGCTTGCTCCACAGCTGTTTATTCTAGACACTTTTCCATTTGTCGAAAATAGCCAGACTTATTTTTCACAGGGTTCTACTAATGATACCCAGCCTTACATCTCATTTGGCTTAGATTCTGTTAACGACAAACGATTTGTCTCGACGTTTAAAGGGCCAAGACAATTTTTTTAATGCAGTTCTTGTAAATACCTTTAATGATGTATGTTACCTGTTTTAAATTTTGGCCCAGCCTTTTTTTTAGGAAAGTCTGGTACCTTTTCTTTGGTTTTGTTCTAAAGCAAATTGATACATTTATCAACGTAAGTGTGATGGTGTCTAAGGGAGAAACTTCAATCCTTCAAGTCTTTCTGAGCTAGATTTTGTCCAAATTTGGGGTACATTTTGTTTACTTTGGTGATTCGTTATTTCGGTTAAAGACAGAAAGCCAGTGAGCAAAGTTTTCTAAAAATATAAATATTTTTTTCATTTCCCCTAAAAGAGGGACTTTTTAAAATTTTTGTTCTCACGAAATAACACACACACCCCCACCTACTTATTTCACTTACAATGTGTGGACATTCCTTTGTTTTCCTGTAGTGAAGGTAATTTAGGCAAAATGTTCCTTTTCCCCCTACTAAGATAACTCCCTCGAACTGGATCTTTAATGATGTTTTTCATGGACTTTTCCTCTTCATTTTGCTACCCCGACCCCAAAATGCCTCTGAAGCTGTTTTTCAGAGAGGGGAAACATTGTGTGGACGTGTGCAAGTCCACACAATGTCCTCACACCTTAAATTATTTGGACTTCTTTTGTACAGAGGTCTACACTATATTATGTACCAGTATGCCACCTGCACTCAAAATGCATGTCCATTCAGATGCTGCGTAGGCATACAAGCAGTGTCTTCCCGTAATGACATCACCCTCATTATTTAGTCAGACTAAAATGTGAATAAAGGAGCCCTTAAAAAAGGCACATTTTTATTGAGAGTAACCAAAAGACACGTCGTACAAGGTGAAGAGAAGAAGAAAGTTTCCAAGGACATGTCCCCAAGTAAACTTCACATCATGGACCCTTTAACGGGTTGTGTGGGCCTTTATGGTTCCATTGTTATGCCATTTTTTCAAAGTCACAGAGCTGTGATGCCATCTGAGGCGTAAGCTCAAGCAGTATAAGTATATTCCGCATCTAGCGCCGTTATGGAAGAATTTAGAGGGTTTTTAAGTGGTACCACTTCTGGTTATTGGGTTGGATTGGGTCGGTGTTTGTTTTGTAACTTCAGACGGCATCATTGTTGATGAGATCACATCATCTGTTTTCCTTCCTCAACCCACAGAGCAAGGAACTCTACCGTTCCAGATTAGGCAATAATTTACCACGTGGGAACGCCACTTCCGATTTCAGTGTGTATGTATTTTGCTCATCAACTCCCTATACACATTTCCAATAAACGTTTCTGAGGTGTTACGCAACACCGTTTTACTGTTGAGAACACCAAGAGCCAAGTGTCGATAAACTTTTGCCTGTCCGGCGCTCAGAATTGTACACAAACATTCAAAGTGCGATATAGTTTGAATCCAATCATTACCACGATTGTCCTTTCGTACAAAAAAAGAAAAAAAAAAGGAAAAGCTGAAATCTAGTGTCTTAATATACAGGCATTTGGACCGTGAAATGTTGCTTTTGAAATGCTATCACTGAGAGAGATTTCTGCATGCAAACAATCTTTACCACCTGAACCTCTGTGGGGTCACCTATATCCCCGGTTCTGGCTGACGTCTACACGGAACAACAAACAGCCATTGCAATTGTCGATCTCCGCCCGAGAGTATGGCTAAGATACGTCAACAATACCTTCGTCATATGGCCTCACTGTCAAGACCAACTAAGAGTCTTGCTGGAACACCTCAACGGACTCAGTATCAGCATCCGATTCACCATGGATCAAGAAAGAGACAGCATCATCTACTTCTTGGATGTGGAGGTGTCCAGACGACCCGATGGCACCTTCGCCCGCAATGTATAGCCATGGAGGAAGGAGGGGCGTAAACCGACTCACACAGACCGCTACCTTCACAGGCGCTCGTTTCATCATCCCAAGATCAAGAACTCCGTCGAAACTTCGCTCGTCTATCGGGCGTACAACGTATGCAACCAAGACAGTCTGCCCAGCGAGTTACACCACATCTCCACATACAGCACTACAGCGCAACTGCTTCAAGAAATCTCAAGTCAAGACCCAAGAACGAACACCCCGCCCCGACCGATGGGTCTCCTCTACCCTAGGTCAGCCCAATAGGTACACTAGTTCTGTCATCCTCCGGTACACGTAGGCAACACTTCGCATCACATAAAACGCATCCTCCAGCAACAAGGAATCAGGGTGTTCCACACAGCACCCATCAAGATCAGAAACCTGTTCCAATCACACTAGGACAAACCAGACCCCAACACAAGGCCCGGCGTTTACAAAACCCTTATAAATGTGGCTAAGTGTATGTTGGAGAGACGGGAGAGATCTAGCCACCAGACACAGCGAACACAAGGCTCACGGACGGCGACGAGACTAAGACAAGGCATCTATTGTCAAACACTCACACGAAACAGACAACGTCACCCAATGTCGTAGTACATACGCGTGTTGGAGGGTGCACTGCCCAATTCAAGGGAAATTCTTCGGCAGGCGGAGGCGCTCAAAAAGTACCCCTACAGTTTATTTGAAAAAGGGGAGATTGTGTGGCCCAAGAACTTGTGGGATTGTGAAAGAATGGCCCAGAATGAACTACCTAGATTCAAGGGTTCCCATCCCAGGGCGAAGCATAGAAAAATTGTCCCAAGAGCCTGAAAAGGTGGAGGGATGTCATTTGAAAAATGGCCGCTAACAGATTTGGGAACGTTCACTTTTTGAAAGGTGAGTTTGTTTTGGGTGGATAATTAAAAATTTCATTGGTTAACCTATTAAAAATTGAAAATCAATTGAGAGCTGAATGACCCCAGAACACTTTGTTTTTTTGTTTGAGAGGCCTGAGGGACTTCGGTTGCCCACACCGGGGCTGCAAACGTGGTCGATTTTACATTGTCTTCAATGGGGCTTCTATTAGTTCAGTGCACCCTGGAATAGGGTGAGTATGCAAACGCACAGTGACATCAATGCATGGCCGCAGCTGATGCCACAGCATGTCATGGTGATTTCGTTGTAAAAAGGCCTTCACTTCCAGAAATTGTCCACATTTTATAGACACTTATCTCACGTGTTGAAATATAATCCACTTGTTAGGTTGAACTGAGTGTACTTGTTTTTATTTGTTTTGGAACAGTTCTTCAAAAGATTAACCGAGATCGTCAAAGCAAAACTACCATACTCCTGTGCGGGGGGTATGCAACGTCTATCGCTTCAAGACTTCAGGACTTTTCCTAGCTCTATTGTACATAGTCTTCGGAATCAGGATACATGCAGTTAGAGTTCTAAATCCTAAATGTATACAGCTCTCCCCCCCCCCATGTTCAAGGTCGGAAAGTCCAATTAAACATCATGTAAAATTAGTTTACGAAAAACAACAAAGCATGTCTTAAAAGAAAGGTGGTGTTTTAAGTCACGTTTAGTCAAGTTATTTTAGAACTGGAAATTCAAAATTGATTAGTACAAAAACACCCTTTTAATTCTTAATTGCTAATTTGGAGTCAATTATGGTATATCACTCAAGTCATGAAACTACTCCTTTTCAAGTAAACTCATGAACAGTTGGCAGTTGTTTCACAATTTCTGCAAAATGTTACAGATTCTTTGATAGTCTTTTAAGGCTAGAAATAGAAAAGAAATTAACAGTGCAGATAAGAATGCCAAAAAGTGATTCTTCTTTCTCAGAATTACTAAGACCACATTTCAAATTACCACCGACTTCTTTTTAGAGACAAACTTACTTTGGATTTTTCTTGGATGTTGCACTGGGGTAAGATTTAATTTTTCAGAGAACGCTGAGATTATCAGTGTAACTGTCTTTCTTATTTCTTTAAAAAAACGCGGCTGAGCTTCCTACATTTGTAAGTTGAGAACGCATTAATAAAAGAGATCTCTGCAGTGACCAGTACTTTAGAAATTTTCTTCCGAAAGCAAACTTTTGTGTTTGAATGATGCTGTTTTCACTAACCAACAATATATTGTGTGTAGGGGACCCACGTAAGATATAGGGCCCTCTTCCTTTTTGTTGTGGCCCAAGGTCCTACAGGCACCCCCTTACTTTTTTGTGCCCTCGCAGCTGTTTATTTGGTGCCACATATTGACTACTGTTGTATGTGTAAGCTTTCTCTAAGCAGGAAACAGCCACAGACTTTCAAGTAAAGGATGATGCAACTTCCTGTCAGGCACTGGAGGGTTGGTGTGGGAGCCTTTTTGTTCTGGAGCCATTCTATCTACAGACTTCGAGGAGTGCAGAACATTGACCCTACACCAAGCTCAACCTAATTACTTTCATTCTTTACAGAATACTAGAATACTACACAAGCACTAAGTAAAGTTTTACATAACTTTCTACACCTAATAAATGTGTAAATGCAATTACACAAAAAAGAGGTAAACTTTTAAACTGAACACGTGTTCGGCAATTTTAAGGGAGTTCCTATAGTTCTTCTAAAACAGGGTAATTTATTACATAATCTGTGTATTTTTCTGGGAGTGCAAGCACTCAAGTTGGACTCCAGCAGTCTCCTGACGACGGACAGAGCACTCACTGTCCAAAACGTAGAGTATATACCGGTTCTTTTCAGTACCACACATACTCACAAAAGAGATAATCCACATGGTGTCTCCGTAAACCTCCTTCCTATCGTTGATCCGCTATCCAAACCCTTCAAACATTTAAATCTTCATACCCGACAAGGTGTGCCACCGCGGCTGTGCAATGACCTGTGGACGGCTTTGTATTACGTCACAGCAATAAAAATCATCTATCCAAATTAAAGTCGGCTCGGTAACTCCAGTGAGCGCAGACGCAAATCACAATTCACCTTGAACAGATTCTTCTTAGTCGAATCCACGACCATGTAGTTGAGCACTAAGATAGACAAATAGATATTTTCTAACACAAATTAAAGTCGGCTCGGTAACTCCAGTGAGCGCAGACGCAAATCACAATTCACCTTGAACAGATTCTTCTTAGTCGAATCCACGACCATGTAGTTGAGCACTAAGATAGACAAATAGATATTTTCTAACACCAGATTCTCGCAGACCAGAGAGGGAAGAGGTTACTTGGGGAAACTACAACTGCTGCGTCCTTTCGCAACATAACTTATCTATGTACCGGTGTCTGTAGAAAGACCATGGGAAGGAATCTTAGGTGCGTGTTGTTTGGACTAGCAGTGGTAGGAGCAGTATGCTTGCTAGTTTTCACTAGAGGGAAGGGCGTGCTGGTGAAGAATGTTGACGTGGAGAGTCGAGAGCCGTCGACAGGGACCACGCAGGACAGTAACGCTCCAACGGGGACGGACTCCCAGCGGGTGAATTCGAGCAATGCAGGACCAAAATCTTGTTCCTGCAACCACAGCTCCGATTTCAGTGCTGAGGATCGACGCGCAGCTGGGGTTCCTGCCGACCCTACAGGCATCCACAACGACAGAACGGTTGGTTCACGCGTTGTCCTGCTGACTGCCATGCGGACTGGGTCGTCATTCATCGGGGAGATATTTGGCCGAAACAGTGATGTCTTTTATCTCTTCGAACCCGGCCAATCGCTTCTGACCGAGCTTCATTCCCAAGGCGCTCTATTTCTGCGACCAATTTACATGGATATGTTGAGTGCCCTCTTCCACTGCAACACATCGTCGCTTAATTTTTACATGAAATGTCTATCACGGCATCACCCATTCGAAGTCAGGAAAAAGGTACCCCGACTATTTGATTTAGTCTGCTACAAGTGGCCAGCTGCAAGACCAGGTATCGCCTGCAGAAAAATTGACGCCGAGCTGTTTGAGAGAAAGTGTCGAGAGAAAAGACACATTGCGGTTAAGTCCATTCGCATTTGGGATATCGGGATGTTTCAGCCACTGATACAAGACGGCAACGTGAAATTAAAGGTCGTTCACCTCGTACGAGACCCACGTGGGATGACTGCTTCGCGAGTGCTGGCCATGAATTTTGTTGATAGCACCAT